AAGGCGAGCGCTCTACCACTTGAGCTACAGCGCCACTTCCGGTTTTCTCGTGGTTTATTAGAGATAGGAGTCTCACGGTCTTTCCTGCCCGGGCTGGCTTTGAACCTCGATCCTCAGATCTCAGGCTCCTGAGTAGCTAGGATTACAGGCATGAGCCACCAGCGCCCGGCTGGTGTGTAAAAGTCATAGGGCATGAGGTTGCACATGCTTAAATCATGGAGGACTCTCAAACAGGAAAAGCAAGTGGATTACCATCTAGAATGCAGTGTTTTGGCACTACAAATCAGTAGTATGGGACAGATCACCTAAGGCATGAACTAAAAACAGAAAGTCTGCATTGTTTCTCAATAGTTGTATGTGTATCTTTTATTTTGGTAATTAGATTGTAAACATCTAGATGGCAGAAACTGTGTGACTATATACATATATATATATAAATGTGTGTATTATATGTATATATGCACATACACTTTTAGCACTGTTCACACATTTAGATGGCAGAAACTATGAGACACATAGATAAGTATAGATCTAGATCACATTGTTTTTATGAGCTGCTGCTTAGCAAGTGTGAGGCCCTGAGTTCAAACCCTAAAAAAACAGTGCCTTATGCTAAATTAACATTGGTATCTATGTAAGTTTGTGGTAATTAGCTATTTCCAGTGATATGGGTAGATAAACATTCTCACTCAGATGTTCATTAGAGGTGATTTAGTTGTCTGTTATTGCTTGACTAAAGTACATTTGAAGAGAATTCAGAGTTATAACTAAGACCAAACAAAAGCCAACCCAGACCAAAACTAAAGATATTTGAGAAAATATATTAACCCAGGAGTTAAGAGAACTAAAATTAATTTAAAATATATCATATGCCAGATACTATATAGTGTTTATCTTTCAGGCTAAAGAAAAAAGTTTGAACAAAAGAAGTAGAATGTAGCCAGGCACCGGTGGCTCACACCTGTAATCCTAGCTACTCAGGAGGCTGAGATCTGAGGATCACGGTTCAAAGCCAGCCCAGGCAGGAACTCCATGAGACTCTTATCTCCAATAAACCACTAGAAAACCGGAAGTGGTACTGTGGCTCAAGCGGTAGAGCGCTCGCCTTGAGCTGAAGAGCGCAGGGATAGCGCCCAAGCCCAGAATTCAAGCCCGACAACTGACAAAAAAAAAAAGAATTAGAATGTATTTGATATCTTAAATATTTAATAAGTAATGGTAATAAGCCTCTATATAATAATTCTTCTGTTTAAGTCCTGGAAAAGTTGTATAAGAGCTAGGCGCTGGTGGCTCATGCCTGTAATCCTAGCTACTCAGGAGGCTGAGATTTGAAGATCGAGGTTTAAAGCCAGCCTGAGCAGAAAAGTTCCTGAGATTCTTTTCTCCAATTAAACACCAAAAATCCAGAAGTGGCTCAAGTGGTAGAGTGCTCATCTTGAGCTGAAGAGCTAAGGGTCAGTGCCCAGGCCCAGCATTCAAGCCCCATGACTGACCAAAAAAAAAAAAAAAAGCATAAGATAGAAAGAACAGTTGGATGCTTCCAAAAAATATAGTCTTGAATAGTTGGATCTATAAGGCTGCGTAATATAAAGAAAAGTGATTTGCAAGGATTTAGAAGTTGTCATTAAAACAGTAGGATGCAATGTGTTTGAAGGTGAGGCTTGTCGAAGATGATCTCTAGCATAGGTCATCTAGCACAGGGGTTCAGGAGGATGTTGTCATGTTGAGGATGATTATCGACAAAAGATGAAATGTTAGAGAGGGAAGAAAGGGTAGAGATGATGAGTTCACTTATAAAAGCCATCTGTTCAAAGAGACTGATAAAATTTGAAGAAAGTAGCTGGAAGGTGATGGCACAATTACAGGAAAGGCTGGAAGCCAGCAGAGGCTTTGCATGACCTGTGTAGCTGTGCCTGTGTAGCACATGCCATTAGTTGCATCTCTTCCCACTATAGTCATGGCCAAGATAAAAGTTGCTGCTGGTTATCGGAGTTGGAAAATAGATAGACAAATGGACCATGACAGAAGGGAAAATATGACAGACACATAGTTACAGAAATAAAGTTATCTAGAGTCAAACTAGTAAATGCGCTATTAATGCAGGGGGTGGGATTTCAGACTCTTCAGTGGTGACCATTAAGAGGACCCTTAGAGTTGGATATGAGCAACTAAAGAGCTGCAACTAAAGAGCAACATCCCCAGCGGGGCTTGGTCAGTGATGCATTTGGGCAGGGAGCCAGGAGGCCTTCTAAAGCAAAGCTTTAAGTTAGTGAACAAAAGCTACTGAGCTCTGCTGGGTTTTGAAATCTAGTTTGTTTTTATTTTGGGATAGTAGCTCACCCTGCCCTTTCAAAAGATTATTTCTTATTGCTTATGACAATAATAGCAAGTAGAAGTTAGTAATTTTAGTTTTCTGACCTCTTGAGTTTCCTATCCCCAGGCAAAGAAATGGAACCAGTGATATGTATTTAATTTAATGTTGCTTATCTATTTGAAGTAAACTAAATAGACTCATAGTCAGAAGCAGGAAAATGCAGAAGCTGTGCTCAGATGTCAGAGCCAATCAGCCCTTGAATAGCATGATGGCTTTGCTTCATGACATCTGCCTTCTGGAACGAAAGTTGACTGAGTGGCATGAAGCTAGAAATCTCATGCTGAATTTTGAAAAATCTCATTTGACCCTCATTTAATTTGAGATGAGACCTGATCGTTGGTATTTTTTTCAGAAGTTTTGCAGGCATTTTTAGGTCAGGATCGAGTCACTGACTTGATTTGTATTGAAAATAGTAGCAGTATTAAATAGTGTGGCGTCTCTTCTTTGTCATCTGTGTTATTTTATGTGAGGCCGTCCTTTGTCCTAGATCCTCCTCAATACTAGTGGTATTGGCCTCTATTCTCAAATGACAAATTCAAATTATTTAATATGGGAAATTTTGCTGCTTAATGTTTAAACTATGTTTAATATATTTCATTATTAGTATTATAGCTTGATTTGTTTCCTATGTGTCCATACCATTAACTTGTTTTAGCAGCAGAACAACAGCAGTCCATTGTAGGAATAACTCATTCATAATGAGGGATAGCTCTATTTTATTTTATTTACTAATTTTAGTGGTACTGGGTTTGAACTAAGGGCCTTGCACTTGCCAGCAGGGTGATGTATCACTTGAGCCATGCCTCCAGCCCTTTTTGTTTTTGTTATTTTTCAAATAGGGTCTCGCTTTATGCCCTATCCAGCTTGGACCACGATCTTGAAATTGATACCTCCCGTGTAGCTGGGATGACAGGTGTGTACACCAAGTCCAGCTTTTTGAGATGAGCTCTCATGAACATTTTACCCAGACTGACCTTGAACCACTATCCTCTTGATCTCGGGTTCCTGAGTAGCTTAAGATCACAGGCATGGACCAATACCCAATGGGGTGGGGGTGGGGGGGAAATCTCAATTTTTTTTTTCTGGGCCTGTGCTTAAACTCAGTACTGTCCCTGGGCTCCTTTTTGTTCAAAGCTAGCACTCTACCACTTGAGCTAGAGCACCACTTCAGCTTTTTTGTATATGTGTTATTAACTGGAATAAGATTCTCACAGGGGCTGGGAAGGTGGCTCAGTGGTAGAGTGTTTGCCTCACATGCATGAGGCCCTGGGTTCGATTCCTCAGCACCACATAAGCAGAAAAAGCCAGAAGTGGCGCTGTGGCTCAAATGGTAGAGCGCTAGCCTTGAGCTAACAGACAGTGCCCAGGCCGAGTTCAAGCTCCACGACTGACAGAAAAAAAAAAAAAGAATCCAGATAAAGAGTACAAATCCAAGAATAGACCAAAAAAAAAAAAAGTCTCACAGGCTTTTCTGCCCAGGCTGGCTTTGAACCATGATCCTCAGATCTCAGCCTCCTGAGTAGCTAGTTTTATAGGTGTGAGCCATGAGAGCCTGGCAAAAATCTCAATTTTTAAAGTAGAATGAAGTATTAATTTCTTACCTTCCATTCAGAATGAGATAGTTCGCTTGTGAGTTTCTTTTTTTTTTGGGGGGGGGGTCCGGTCATGAGGCCTGCTGGGCCTGGACGCTGTCCCTCAGCTCTTCAGCTCA